TTATTTTCTCTATGTTCTTTTCTTTGTTGTATTTTCATTTCTATTGTTGGCTGATGAAGGCTTTATGCCGAAACGTCCTTGTTTTTTGTCCTGTTACCTTTTTTCAAGCTTCCACATACCTCGTTTCACTATTTCATTCGTTTATGAAACGGTCTTAAGTGAATTTGGTTAATTTCCAATATGTCATTCGTGAATCCCACAACCCCTAAGTGGAAGAAGTCCCCCCCCCGTCCCACCCCCATGTGCGTACGTTACCCCCCCCACTCCCGCCCCAGCGTTGCTACATGATAAAATATTTCATAATTTAATGAGACGATGTTCAAAAAGAATATATATTATTAAACAAACAAAAACTATTTTAAAAAAACTCTTCAAATCAATCGTGCAGGTAGCCAATGATATTGTCTACAAGAGTTGCATCATTACGAATGTATTTGAAAAGGCATGAATTAATGTATTAATATTTTAATGTCTTAAATAATTAACCGTTGTAATTAATACGGAAAAAATTGGGTTTAAACAAGGGATTGAGGAAGAATGGCTCGGTCAAACTGAAAGCCGAGGAACTGAGGCTCAACAGAACCATCCAACACAAAATGATCAGATCTTACTGGAACTACCTGAACGGCATCTGCTCAGAGGAAGATACTCTGACAAAGAGTGCCAAGAACAAGCGCCTCAAGGACTACGTAAAGCACATTGGGGAACTCTACTGAGTTGGGAAGGTCATTTCAAATCTGACCAAAAAGCACATGTGGGCATTCTCAATCTGTAGTTTCAATCAGTCTTTTGTGATTGTAGAGAATATTCAGGGATATAGTTCTTTCTGAAGACCAACATGATGATCACAGCCTACCCCGTAATTGGAAGATATCCAGATTTCTTGGCAGGGTTTGCTTGCTCTCCTCAAAACCATTAACCCTTACAAAGCATGTGGTCCCGACAACATCAAACCACCACGAGTGCTCAAAGAGTTAGCCAAAGAAATCGCTCCTGCCGTGACAATCCTCTTCCCATCGTCGCTGTGCACAAGAAATGTTCCAACAGACCGCAGAGCAGCACCTGTCACTACAGTCTACAATCAAGAAAGCGGAGCATTAAGACCCTGCCAACTAATGTACAGGTATCCAGCACCAGCGTGTCAAGCTAACTGTAGGAGCACACAATCATAAGCGCAGTCATGAAGCGTTTTGAAAAAAACATAACCAAAGACTGTCATCATGGCTTCCAAGTCAATAGATCATCTGAGAACCAGCTCCTTGAATTTGTAGAATACTTGGCGACTAATTTGGAGATCAGTAAGCAAGCTGACGTGTTGGTGAGTGACGTCTCAGAGGCATTTGACAGTATAAATCATATTTTGCTTTCACAAAAACTTCAAATATATGGAATCCAAGGCACTAACAAAACATGGACCGGTACTAGGCCTCTGTTTGTTCCTAGAATACATCAATTACACACCCCGGAAGCTGACCTCCCAAAGCAAGACTGTTCGCAGACGATACGGCACTGTTGTATATAAAACAATTGCCAAAAGTTCTGCCCAGGACCAGCTACAGCAGGATCTCCATCGGTAACCAGGGTGGGAGATGAACTGGGACATGGAATTTCATCCTGCCAAGTGCCACACTCAGCTTCCAGAAGTAGAACCCCACTAACCACTATTACGAACTGCATGGTCACACTCTTGGGCCAATTTAATGCGCAAGGTACCTCGGTGTTGCCATTCAAAGAGAGGTCCACTGGGACGAGCATATTAACAACGTGTTCAATTAGGCAAACTAGATTATAGGATTCCACGGCGTAATTGAAGGATAAGCAGCTCCAGCATAAAAGGAAAAGCTTATAAAGCCTTTATCCGGCCGAATTTAGATTAAGCATCTTCAGCTTGGGACCCCTTCAACCAGATAAGCATCAAGAGGTTGGAAACGGTCCAGCGACGGGCAGCACGCTTTGTTCTGAACCGCTGCAGGAACACTGCAAGTGTTGGCAGCATGCTGGAAACACTGGGCTGGTCACCATTGGAGGAAGGAGGACGATTATCCAGGCTCTCCATGATTTACAAGATTTAAAAAATGGGCTCGTCCACTGCTACAATATTAAACAGAAACTCGTCCCCGCCCCCCTAGACAGTAACTAGGCCATGACAGGCAGTTCAAGCTCATAACACCAAAGGAGTACAGGAACTGCTTATTCCTACCGAAGACAGTCATTGACTGGAATAAGCTTCCAAAGGGATTAGTTAAGGTGACTACACTTGACACACTTGCGGCTTTTACCTCCTGCCTTCTAAACATAGCTCCTAATATCCTCATTGAGTAGCCCTAGCAACCATTGGAATGTCCTCTTAAAAACCACACACAGAAACATTGCGATTCCTTTACATAAATAGGAGCCAGGATGATCAGTACTTTGATCATTGACGCTCAAGATGTAAGAAAAGGAGTAGAAAAGCAATATCATGACACTTTATTTGCTCTGCCGACATGCTCATGAGATCCATTTCTTTACACTCTCTATATTTTATCGTGGACAGAAACAAGTGAATGAAGACATTATCTTCTTAGGAGTAAGTTAAATACAGAGTTTAACATACACATTTTGATGAGAATTCAAATAATTCCGTCCTTTTTTCGATATCACTTATTTCATATAATATAATAAATAGCAAAATAAAGAATATGTCTGTCTTCTACTACTTCATTTTCTTTATTTAAAAAAATTATACAGACAAAGCCTTTTATTGAATATTAATCACTGTTCGTGCGAGACAGCGGTCAAAGGGCCTTAAAATTTATATAATAACGTTTAATTGGAACATCTCTTTCCCTAAACATTTTCAAAAAATTAAAACAAAAATTAAACATATACATTTCTTGTATATATAATTACATTTCTTTCGTCTTACTATCTTTCTGTACAATTTTCTTTGATCAGCATCTTAAAAAAAAATTAATAAGTATATAAAATTCGCTTGAGCATTTCGAGTGCAAAATATAAATTACTAGATATAACCCGCCAAACATTGGCGACAGCAATGCGTGAACTTCCCATCTAGTGAAGTTACTTGACAAAACATGAACTCAAGTAACGCACATTTAAGAATCCCAACATTTGCTACACCCTTTTCCCCATGATACGGTCACTGCACACTTTTTAGTTCACGCCCATGAACTATATTAATATTCTCATGTCACAAGCACTTTCAAACCTTATATTTTTTTTTTACACAATACTTAAATTGAGACTATTTCATTTTCAAATAGAAAATATTACGCAACAAACCCAAATGCGTTATTAAAAAAAAAATATATATATATGTCATTTAGCGTAGATATCGGGAATTATATTTTGTGCGCTAGTGACCTCATTATTGAACCACACTCTGGCGTATCTATATATAGCCTGCATGGTGGTGTTTGACCTTTGCTGGAGAATTAAATATATAGATGTTCTAATTGTTAGTGACTTATTTTTAAAAGAAAGCTTGCTTTTCGTTTTTTTTCCCTTCACTATTTAATATTGATATTCAATGAATTAATTTTTTACACATGGTCCAAAATCTATTATCAACTTTACAAATAAAAATCACTCTTAAAAGCATTAATAGGACATTTTTACCCTTAAAAGAGAGGTCCACTGAGACGAAACCTGAATGCTAGATGGTTATATTTTAAAAAAAATTATTATTTATTATATTTTAGCGCTTGACAAATACTTTTAAACAATTTTCATTGTTAAACAATTAACAATTTTTATCATTATATACAATGATTACTCCCTGTAGTAGGGATTTTTAGTTTTAAAATGATGAAATTCAATATGTACAATGTATTCAAAACACATTCCAGTTTCTTTGACTCATAAAATAATATTAATTAATATTTTTAATCGTATTCGAAATGCAATGAAAAAACCTCTAAACAAAACTTTTCTTATAAATCTTTTATAAAATGTAATTTCTAGCAAGGGGGGGGGGACGACATACTTACATTGAAGTAACGCAATGGATAAGAATCAAAATCAGTACACACCTCCCCTATCCTACAACCCGCATTTGAACATTTTCCCACGCCCATGAACTATATTCATATTTTATTGACTCACCCATGTTTACACATCACATTTATTTGTCAAACTATTTCAGAAAACAAAAGTTAGTGTTACGCACCAAACGCACTTGCAAGTGTCTTGTTTAAAGAATCTTATTTAGAGCAGTGTTCGGGAATTTCATTTCGTGAAATCGGCGTCATCACATTTCCTTTACATTCCCCTTGAAACAGAGAAAGAACTAAATGTTTGGATTTAGGATTGAAGATTTGAAAGAGTGTGTTGCAATCGGCGACAAGTCTATGTGTCAAGTTTCAGTTCGATACGTTGACGGAAAATGGGTAAAGAGCCTTCCGAAGATTTGTTTCCACCCAGCCAGAAAGAAACACACCAACAAAGGCAAAGTTAATAAAAAGGATTTAAAAAGCTCATACTCCTGTGGCGTAATGACTGATTGAAATCTGCTGTTGACCAATGGGACAAATCCAAACTTGTAATATGACGTAACATAATCATATGATAATTTATTTCGTTAAATAAAAAAAAAAATTTTAAGGTCATAGTAGTTTTATCATTAATTAAATATCTACACATATTCACATGACGTCAATTGACATGATTTATCATACAGTAAAACTTTAATATCTCTGCAAATAAACAAAGAAAAAAGAATAGGAAAATATTAGACATCTACAGAATTGGATTGAAACATAATCTAAATAACACTTTTATCAAAAATCTTATTCGAGTGAACGTAACATTCAATTGTTGACATTCTAACATATTCTAACCAGTGTAGCTAAGATCTTTATATTCCTTTTAATGTACTGTATGCCAAAAAAACTCTAATAAATTGAAACAAAACTGTAGCTAGATAGAACGGAGGGCGCAAAAAGATTTAACAAACATATTTAGCATTAACTTTTTTTTGTTGGGGGGGGGGGGGGGGGGTTTTTTGTTTGTCATCTGTTTTAAAAAAACTTCACAAAAAAGAAAAAGTTTTGGTAAATAAGATTGCTAGAGTAATTCTTCAAACGTTTTTTGAACCTCATAAATACAAATTGGTCTCATGCCATCACAAATAAAGTACTTATGTCGTCAGTCAGATAATTTTGTTTAAAGCTGATCCTCCGAGAACCTTATCAGATGGCTCGCAATGTTGCCATGTAGTAAAGAAATGGTTGCCCGAATATACTTTTCATTGAACCATCCAGAGATAGATTGATCAATTTCAGAGCCATGAAGCCACGAACTTATATCAGACAAATTCGACTCAACTTCATTAGCCTTATATAAGACGTCCCTATGGATGGTAAAGACAGGGGAATTATTATGCTCATACCATCTGTTGGTTGCCCTCTTACCATCTGTTAGATTTACTTTATCAAAGGAAATTTCTTTCGTTCCATGGTGTGAGATTTGGAAGATAATTTTGTATTTTTGTCTCTGCATGATTTCACAGAACAGCTCTTTGCTTGTGTCTTTAATGGTTTCTATTAAATGCGTACGCCTTTGATTTGAATAGGAAGACAAACATTTGTCTTTCAGATCTGATTTGGCTTTCAAACAATTATCAAGACACGTTACATAATCCAAAAAATGTGATTTAAATGTTACAGAATCTGTTAAATGATGTACTTCTTCACATACACGTAACAAACTATGTGAGGCAAAGTTGTCGGTGTCTTTAAATAAAGTTATGAGAGTAAGTCTTTCAAAGGCTGTGTTTAAACATATGTAAACTTCAAAAAGAAAATATTCCCTCTCTATAATTTCGTTAGTAAAATGATCTCTAGTAACTCCCAAAATTACGCTTGAACCAGTAAGACATCTCTTCAAAGCTTTTGTAAACTGACTTACACAATTTTGGGACTTCAACAGTGGTGGTTTCCAAAATGGTCCATTAACATAGAAATAACAGAAGTTTGAGGATTGCTAGTTGACAGATCTAAAAAATGTTCCTTTAACATTGAACTTATAACTTGATCTTCGGTGACACAGAGAACTTCAATAACATTAGCTGCTTTGTATGAATTCAAAACTCTCCAACCAAAAGCTTTCCTCGCAGAACTCATGTCTTGCAGATCATCACATAAGAAATTAATCTCTGTCTTCTTGGCTTGACTTGTATCAGAAATAATATGTGCATCTGTGGCCATTATAAAATATGTCTTTTTTGTGTCTTCCAAGTCTGGTCTTATATCATCATCGTTAGCGAGTCTGGTAATAAATCCACTTGCCATGTTTTTTGAATCGAATGTTGAATCATTTAAAAAATGGATCCCAACTGTAAATTTAGAGAAAAATTTAATACAATGTAAATGTTGATAATTGCGGTATTCTAATGGCAAATCTTCAACATCCAATAAACTTAACCTAAATCCATTTTTATTACAATGATTTTGATCTTCCGCAGACGACTTAGGTTTTTTAGTCAATTCATAGTGATCAGAAAAATACACAGTCCACGATGAACTTTTGTTCAACTCATTGCCATGATGTCTTGAGTGTGGGACACTAAAAATAGCATCTACATTCTTAAAAGTATAGTTTATGCCATATATATTTGCTGGAATGACAAAGACAGGTCCACCAGACGACCCTGGACATGTTGCCAGTCTATAAATTATTTTGTAATGTCCATTACGTGTGTCTGCACTAACAATGTTACCTAAAGTCACTGTCTTTGATCTCCCGTGTGGATGGGAGATGTGAAAAACTAAATCCTGAGACACTGTCTCATGTTCCTTTAGAACGTTTTTCTCTACAATTGTAGGTCTTTCTATCAGAGGAACGATTTCGGACGAATCGCTAGGAGACAAAATCGGTGGTGAAATTTTATTGATTTTACCAAAAATGCCATTATTAAATTTTTCAGAAATCACGTGATCCTCAGTAAGACAGAGCACTTCACTAAAGTCAGCTTCTAAGTTTGTATTTAAAACTCTCAAACCAAAAGCTTTTCTCACAGAACTCCTGTCATGTGGATCATCATAAAAAAATTCAATCTCTGTCCTCTGGGCTTCACTTGTGTCAAATATAACATGTGCGGCTGTGACCAGTATAAAATAGGATTTTGTGGAGTCTCTGACGTCAGGATTTATTTGATCAGGTCCAGCCAGTCCTGTAACCAAACCACTTCCTACGTGTCTGATATTTCCCCTTAAACATTTACATTGTCTGTCTTGACTTGTGTTTTCATGTCCACAATCACATGGTCTGTCAGGACTGATGAAATCTACAACTAACCTCACAGTGAACTGTGCCATATAATAAATAAAATCTAAGCTACACGGTGTCTGGTGATGTTCAGGTAAATCATCTAATTTTAAAGATGTCAATGACAAAAATTGTTTGTGATCAGGATTTTTCGGACATGATTTGAAACGTCCTTCTAGGTCGCCTTCATCCACAAAGTCCACTTCTAACTGACACTCTCCATCGTTTCCTTGACTTGACATGATTAATGACTTGATGATCTTGTGACAGCCAGCATCTGATGAGACAAATGTTAGTGAAAGTGGGGACAATATAAAATGGTTATTGTTACACGTATATGTAAACATTTAAAGGGAAACAATTTAGACTTGATAGAGGGACTTCGCAATTAGAATTAGAAATACGATTCTTTTTTTTCTTATTCTTAGTGAAAGAGGAAAATTATAAAAAGAAAAAAGAAGTTTGACATGTAGCAATTTTAATACTACTAGAATCTTTATATTTTTCTTTAAAGTTTGATTAACCAAAATTTCTCAAATTCAACTAGAATGTCTGGATATGCACATTATATAGTAGATTTATGATTGAAAGGGACACACAATGTCCGATGTTCTTGATGTAAATTATCTAATCGGAACGATTTTAAGTGGGGTGGGGTGACATTATGATGTAAATATTTGTTTAAAATCAAAACTGCAACTTTCATCAAGGTCATCGTCATTTACAAAATCCACTTCTGATACAATCCATAATCCACGTTTTCTTTATGTAACATGATTTTTTTTTTGAATGACTCGATCTTTTGAATGACTTGATCTTTTGAATGACTCGATCTTTTGAATGACTTGATCTTTTGAATGACTCGATCTTTTTAATGACTTGATCTTTTGAATGACTTGATCTTTTGAATGACTCGATCTTTTGAATGACTTGATCTTTTGAATGACTCGATCTTTTGAATGACTTGATCTTTTGAATGACTTGATCTTTTGAATGACTTGATCTTTTGAATGACTCGATCTTTTGAATGACTTGATCTTTTGAATGACTCGATCTTTTGAATGACTCGATCTTTTGAATGACTCGATCTTTTGAATGAATCGATCTTTTGAATGACTCGATCTTTTGAATGACTCGATCTTTTGAATGAATCGATCTTTCGAATGACTCGATCTTTTGAATGACTCGATCTTTTGAATGACTTGATATTTTGAATGACTCGATCTTTTGAATGACTCGATCTTTTGAATGACTCGATCTTTTGAATGACTTGATCTTTTGAATGAATTGATCTTTTGAATGACTTGATCTCTTGAATGACTCGATTTTTTGAATGAATCGATCTTTCGAATGACTTGATCTTTTGAATGACTCGATCTTTTGAATGACTCGATCTTTTGAATGACTTTATCTTTTGAATGACTCGATCTTTTGAATGACTTGATCTTTTGAATGACTCGATCTTTTGAATGACTTGATCTTTTGAATGACTCGATCTTTTTAATGACTTGATCTTTTGAATGACTTGATCTTTTGAATGACTCGATCTTTTGAATGACTTGATCTTTTGAATGACTCGATCTTTTGAATGACTTGATCTTTTGAATGACTTGATCTTTTGAATGACTTGATCTTTTGAATGACTCGATCTTTTGAATGACTTGATCTTTTGAATGACTCGATCTTTTGAATGACTCGATCTTTTGAATGACTCGATCTTTTGAATGAATCGATCTTTCGAATGACTCGATCTTTTGAATGACTCGATCTTTTGAATGACTTGATATTTTGAATGACTTGATCTTTTGAATGACTCGATCTTTTGAATGACTCGATCTTTTGAATGACTTGATCTTTTGAATGAATTGATCTTTTGAATGACTTGATCTCTTGAATGACTCGATCTTTTGAATGACTCGATCTTTTGAATGACTCGATCTTTTGAATGACTTGATCTTTTGATTGACTCGATCTTTTGAATGACTTGATCTTTTGAATGACTTGATCTTTTGAATGACTCGATCTTTTGAATGACTCGATCTTTTGAATGACTCGATCTTTTGAATGACTCGATCTTTTGAATGACTTGATCTTTTGAATGACTTGATCTTTTGAATGACTTGGTCTTGTATCGACACACATCCCCTTATCCCTGTTTATGTTAATTATTGAAGTCGTGATAAAAAATAAATAATTTTTAAACCCTCACATATTTTCTTTATTCCACAAATCACTCAAAACTAGAAGAAGAGTTAAAACAGATTAATTTCACCATCATTGTGGGGATGTGTGACGGAATTTAAAAAAAAAATGTGCTCATTAGCGACCATCCTGGCGCTTTGAGTGGGTTTGCCAGGTGGCACTTCACGAGGTTTTGCCAGGTTGTGCTCCGGGAGGTTTTTGCCAGGTTGTTCTCCAGTAGGTTTGGCCAGGTCGTGCTTCGGGAGGTTTTGCCACGTTGTGCTTCGGGAGAATTTGCCAAATTGTGCTTTGAAGGGCTTGCCAGTTGGTTTTTCGGGAAATGCTTGCCAGGTTGTGCTTTGGGAGGCTTTGCCAGTCGGTGCTTCGTGAGGCTTTGCCAGGTTGTGCTTTGGGTGGATTTGCAAGGTTGGGCTAACCCATTTAAATACGCAAAAAACAAAACCAAATATTAATTCGAACAAACACAAAGAAAATAAGCAAATGAAAACTTATAAAAGAAGGGATGAGAAGACTTTACAAATTTGCTTTAAGTTAAATATAGGTGTGAGTCCTGTTAAATAAGGAAAGTGGGGAGCAGAAGTGAGGTGTAGTAAAAGTTGTAAGAATTTCCTCGGTCTTCCACACCATAGTGGTGCTCTCACCAAGTGGCGTAGCTAGAGTTAGTATTTCTCGTGCAGCTAACGCACGGTGTCAACCCCCCCTCCTCCCTCCCAAATTCCACGATGGATTTCTTTTTCTTAAAATAAGTCCACAGTATAACAATTAAAAGAACAAAAACAAATGAATTAAAAGTCAGGTGGTCAATGCAGCTAAGAGCTATGACAACGATAAGCTAAAGTTATTTTTACAGTTAATTTACTTTATTTAAACATCTCCTTTCCTGATCTTAAACGTTGCACACTAGTCAATTAGGTGATCCAATGTTATTGGGCTGTGATAGCGACAAATCGGCAAAAATATTATTTTTTAGTAATTCTCTGTTTCGATATATGTGTTTTCAAAATGTAAATTAATTATTAATAGATATTATAATATTTTGTAAAATATTTTTTGTTAAACATTTTCTTATTGCTACATCATTCGGTAGAATGTGGGAGCTAATTTAAGATAAATGTTTTGGGAATTTCCTTTTGATAAGAGATAACTCAAACTGATGAGGCTGCCATTATAAAACACCTGGCTCATCAAAATGGACACAGATCATTACCTGATTAATAAGCTCATGTCCATTAAATTACGTCTACATGTATTTGACTTCATCCATAGAGCTCCACCCGACACCGGGAGCTCCACCCGACACCGGGAGCTCAACCCGACACCGGGAGCTCCACCCGACACCGGGAGCTCCACCCGACACCGGCAGCTCAACCCGACACCGGGAGCTCCACCCGACACCGGGAGCTCCACCCGACACCGGGAGCTCCACCCGACACCGGGAGCTCAACCCGACACCGGGAGCTCAACCCGACACCGGGAGCTCCACCCGACACCTGGAGCTCCACCCGACACCGGGAGCTCAACCCGACACCGGGAGCTCAACCCGACACCGGGAGCTCCACCCGACACCGGGAGCTCCACCCGACACCGGGAGCTCCACCCGACACCGGGAGCTCCACCCGACACCGGGAGCTCAACCCGATACCGGGAGCTCCACCCGACACCGGGAGCTCCACCCGACACCGGGAGCTCAACCCGATACCGGGAGCTCAACCCGACACCGTTGACTTCTTGTCAAAAAACCATGTAACGCTTCTCGTGAACACTTATCATTCTGTTTATTAGTATATTATCTATTCTTCTAAATATTTAGAGTTCGATAATGCAAATAGACCATGACCTCCTTAATCACCGTATATGCCAGATTTGAACTTGGCTGTGGGTGCGAAGATGGCTGATGAGACCGTTTCTGGCACGACATGTTCCTGTGCAGTAAGTGCAGGCGATTGATGTAACATCTCCAGTTGCAAAGTTAACCAGGGATTTTCTGTCACGTCTCTTTTGTTCTGCAGCCGCTGTTCTGTTATGTTTGCTGCACGTTATATAGAGCCATTGTGTACATTCAAAAGAGCATATATTTATCTATCAATTCGCCAAGTGCGTATAGAGTGACTTATTTTTACAAAATAAATTAACTAGTGGGACAGTTATAAAGAAAATTTAAAATTATCCACTCACCATCATTGAAGTGGATCCTGTCAGTGTACACTGTCTGACAATATCGGGACAACACATTCCTATACACAAACACACTAACTTAAGCTAACTGTAAAATCTAGGCTATGATCATTTTTTGACTGTTATTTTTCTTCTTGTTCTTAGCTTGATACATGGCCTACCAGATAAAATATCTATGGTATCTGTTGTCTGTACCGTAGAAAATCTTTTTTTTTAAAAAGTAAACATTTACACCAAAAAATATAACAGTTCTTAGTTTAATTAATAATTGAGAAGATTTAATACATAATGGTTTCTCAGCATTTCTCAGTAAAGGTAAAGCAAAATATGTTGTTTTTTTCTTCCTTCTATCTAACTTTAATTAACTTCATAATTGTGATGTGTATCTACTTTTAATGAACTTCATATGTGTGATGTGTATCTACTTATAATTAAATTTATATTTTTGATATGTATACAGTAATACGCCGATAGTCTACACCACCATTACCGTAATCTTTAACAAGTCACGAGGTAAACCATGGCCTCAATATTTACAACACATTTTTATGCAACGATGGAGTGTGAGTAGAGTTGATATTGATATATCACATATGGTAACATAGTTATCCAAATATCAACATGTTCACCTAAATTACACATAATAAACGACATTGTTATGAAGGTTCTCAAGCAAAGTATTGCTTTATTCAGGTTTATTCATCATGACGTAATGAATCCTTTCATTCTTTGTTATTTAATTGTCGTTATGCCCTTTTGAAATTGTTTTATGTAAGAGATTACTTTCAGGTGTGCATGGGATGTAAGATATTTCTTTCATATGTGCATGTGATGTAAGCGTTTACTTTCATGTGTGCATGGGATGTAAGATATTACTTTCATGTGTGTATGGGATATAAGATATTACTTTCATGTGTGTATGTGATGTAAGAGATTACTCTCAAGTGTGTATGGGATGTAAAAGATTACTTTTATGTGTGCATTGGATGGAAGATATTACTTTCATGTGTGTATGGGATATAAGATATTACTTTCATGTGTGTATGGGATATAAGATATTACTTTCATGTGTGTATGGGATGTAAGAGATTACTCTCAAGTGTGTATGGGATGTAAGCGTTTACTTTCATGTGTGCATGGGATGTAAGATATTGCTTTCATGTGTGTATGGGATATAAGATATTACTTTCATGTGTGTATGGGATGTAAGATATTACTTTCATGTGTGTATGGGATGTAAGAGATTACTTTTATGTGTGCATTGGATGGAAGATATTACTTTCATGTGTGTATGGGATGTAAGAGATTACTTTTATGTGTGCATTGGATGTAAGAGATTACTCTCAAGTGTGCATGGGATGTAAGAGATTACTTTTATATGTGCATTGGATGGAAGATATTACTTTCATGTGTGTATGGGATGTAAGAGATTACTTTTATGTGTGCATTGTATGGAAGATATTACTTTCATGTGTGTATGGGATGTAAGAGATTACTTTTATGTGTGCATTGGATGGAAGATATTACTTTTATGTGTGTATGGGATGTAAGAGTTTACTTTTATGTGTGCATTGGATGGAAGATATTACTTTCATGTGTGTATGGGATGTAAGAGATTACTTTTATGTGTGCATTGGATGGAAGATATTACTTTCATGTGTGTATGGGATATAAGATATTGCTTTCATGTGTGTATGGGATATAAGATATTACTTTCATGTGTGTATGGGATGTAAGAGATTACTCTCAAGTGTGTATGGGATGTAAGAGATTACTTTTATGTGTGCATTGGATGGAAGATATTACTTTCATGTGTGTATGGGATATAAGATATTACTTTCATGTGTGTATGGGATATAAGATATTACTTTCATGTGTGTATGGGATGTAAGAAATTACTTTTATGTGTGCATTGGATGGAAGATATTACTTTCAAGTGTGTATGGGATGTAAGAGATTACTTTTATGTGTGCATTGGATGGAAGATATTACTTTCATGTGTGTATGGGATGTAAGAGATTACTTTTATGTGTGCATTGGATGTAAGAGATTACTCTCAAGTGTGCATGGGATGTAAGAGATTACTTTTATGTGTTTATAAAAATTATTGTACAGGACAGAACTCTGTGAGCGATGGACTGGACCATTACATTTTTAAGAATGACTACAAACATCTAATAGCACAGTTTGTGCTGTAAGCTTCCAATGTCCTATTAACTGGTTCACAGAGCAATATCGCCTGTGTTGGCTTATTAGCATAGGATGATATGGCAGTGTCTTAGATTTACTACTAACTCAAACATGTAATCCACGCTTTTTCCTTTGTTTCTTTTAAACATGTTTTTTGTTCAAGCTGCTTACCAGAAAATATTTACGTGCATAAAAACTGGTGGGAAACGCACAAGACAAAATATTGCAAATATTAAAATCTAATTTGTAGATCTTGGGAAATAAATGCCGAAACCATTTTTTTTCTGATGTTCCCTCGACTGTGTTTTGCAAATCAATGATAATTTTACACGATTTTTACAAATTAACTTAATGAAAACACAAGAAAAATTGGTTTAAATATTTTTAATTCAGTATTTTGACGTGTTATATAGACAAAAATTGACTTGATTTACTTATGAGAGAACATTTTTAAAGGCACCTACATTAAATAGAAAAATAAGGAATTGCAACGAGTCAAGCGTACAGTACAAATAAACAAAACACCTGATCCATGAATTCTTTTAAAATGGTATCATTTTGAAGTTACATTTAAAGTCTGCTGTACACTGGACGTAATGTGTACACTATACGATGAAATAACCACTAAAATTATACATTTAATGCCAAATAATAAAAAAAAATTGAAACTTTGTTTCACTTTATAAACTTTTTAGTATTTTTTTCATAATATTAAAAAAAATAATAAAATTGTCATAGAAGGTTGGGCCGAATTGTCTTCTGGAATGAGAATATCTGCTGAATGTCTCGCGGAGAGCTTTGATCCCTGGTCAAATGTGGCCATTCTTATGGGATTTAGTCTAAAGGTACCCGGGTCCGAATAGCGGCCATGCGTGCACTAGTCCCATCAGACCAAATGCTATTCCAATGTCATTTGTTGTAGTTTATTTTAGTTAAACTGAAGAAGTAAGTTTACAAACATATAGTCCATTCAATTATCTTTCATTTGATACCAAATTTTGTCTCACAAACCCAACAATAGTTGTTTTTTAAAATTCAACCTCTCACTTCTGAATTTCAGGTGCGAATAGCCACAGCCTTAATAACGACCGTGTATTAGATCAAAAGATTTAAAAACTTATTAAAACTAACACTTAAAAACAAAGTTTTTAGAATAAATCATTTATCCATCAACGTCAACTCCCATTACCAAATACAAAGCATATAGAAACAGCTACACAATTAATCTCAACACCAAAACACGCACCCATTGAACAAATCATTAATATTATCCCCCCCCCCCCTTTGAAAACATGTTTTCAGGATTGAGTTTAGTAGTGGGGCTGAAATTTTTAACGTTTAAAGGATCTGTTATTTCTAGCAACACGTCTACGTGCCTAGTTTCAGCTTGATAAGATGACAAGAAGTGTTGGTGAAATAGCTGCCCTTGAAAATCAGTAAAAATGTGTTTTTTTGGGAGCTTGGAGTTGGGAGTGTAGCTGACAATTGTAAAGAATGTTTTGTCTTTGGTGACAAGACCATGTGCAAAGTTTTATTCTTGATGGGATGACGGGAAGTGGTTCACTTAGTCTTCCGAAAATTATGGCGCCACAATGAAGGAAAGAACTACACAGAGATGAGCAACGTTAAAAAAGAGGATGTAAACAAATAATTAATACGTCTTTTACTATTCAATTTGCAGCTATATGAAAGTTTTCTCTAAAAGAGTTGCGTTATGAGGATGTATGTGCGAGATAATGATTCATTAAACTATATTTTAACGTTTGATCAAATATACACCTTATTAATCAATAGCAAGAAAATGTTTTCGTTTTGGCGAAACAATGATAAAGGAACGGAGATGAATATATACAAAATGTGTACAGATTGCACACATATCACACCTAGCACATAAATACCGTACACATAGTTATTATGAGGTCAAATATAATTAGTGGATACAAATGTCAAATTAATACAAATTACTACACTTTAATTTGTGTAATAGTGTTAGCTTTTTATTTTATTTTATGAGAACAGGGCAATATCCAAGGAATTTAATGGAATCCATTTATTTTATATAAAAATGCACTGATATCTGAAGTACAGCTATAATCCATTGTTATCAGAAAGATACGCAGTCCACGACGAACTGGATGTCAACGATCATGTTTGATCATTTTGGCTCCTGGTTTGAATTGAGGTGCAGAGAATTGAACTCCAGGCCTGATTTGATCAGTTTAGACCATTCGGCCACCCAGGACCCCGTGAGACGACACTTTACATGGCAACTTGACGACACCTTCATGTCCTATACATGGCGATCTTTACATGTTACAAGACTATATAAACTATTAGGTTATGTCCGACAAATATTTGTGCATATCAACATTTCCTCGAATCAATTTATTTGATGTCCCGTTTTTATGTGACACGTGAACAGAGAGAGAGAGAGAGAGAGAGAGAGAGAGAGAGAGAGAGCAATATTGTATTTCGCTCTGTTTACCTATGTACTATAAAATGAGTTCTGTCTCTTCTTTTTTAAAGATTGTTTTACGTGTGATGAACCAAGTGGATGAAGCCATCTTCCACGGAGTGATTCGAATTAAAAGTCAAATTTTATTGCGAAGTCAAATGATTCGGTTTATATTTTGACAACGCTTACTTCATGGTACATTTTAAAATTAATAAATTGGATAAAATCAACTATTTTGCTGAATAAAACGGAAAAGCTCTAAATAATTGATCTTCTTCATTTAATAACGCATACACGATTCTTATTAACTTGACATAAATGTTTGCGCATGAAAGCAGGTGAAAGTTTTCTGGACTTTTTTAAATCGCCTTGGAATTGGATGGTCTCTTTCACTAAAATCTATTTGACAAATACAATTTAAATAAACATTAAAGGTCCTGTATTTTTTA